CATATAAATGAAAGTGTCACCTAAGATAATGCCTATTTTATATTAAAGAAACGATACTTCTAAACCTATCTCGTCCTTCATGACGACAATTCAATTCGATTACGTTTGATACAATTCAACTAAATTTATTGAAGTTAATGCTGTTCTAATTTTTGGATTCAATATAGCTAGTTCAGTTGAATTGAAGTACATTTTTCCAAGTAAATCCTATTAATAACGATTCTATTAAATAAGGGTCATATAAATGAAAGTGTCACCTAAGATAATGCCTATTTTATATTAAAGAAACGATACTTCTAAACCTAACTCGTCCTTCATGACGACAATTCAATTCGATTACGTTTGATACAACTCATCTCAATTTATTGAATAAAATGCAATTCAAACTATTGGATTCAATATAGTTAGGTCAGTTGAATTGAAGTACATTTTTGCAAGTAAATTCTATTAACAACGATTCTATTAAATATTATTCAAATAAATGAAAGTGTCACCGAAGATAGCTTCGAATCGATTCTCTTCAAATCTGCTCAATTGTCTCGCAAGTGACGAGACGCGCGGGCACAGCCTCGGTCGTGGCGCGTGGCTGGCGGTGGCGGGGGGCGCGCTCTACGGTCCCGAGGCCGGGGGTTGTGCAGGTGGCGTGGATCAAGGCGGACACCAAGGCCATCCTGGCCATCCACGAGCACGTCATCACCAACAACGCGCGCCTCAGCGTCACCCACAACGACTTCAACACGTGGACGCTCAACCTGCGCGACGTGAAGCGCGAGGACCGCGGCCAGTACATGTGCCAGGTCAACACCGACCCCATGAAGAGCCAGGTGAGTGAGTGCTCGGCCGCCAGCGACAAGCCGCACCGAGGGAAATACATACAGAGGCAATACATAACAGTTTTTAGATTTAAGAGGCTGTCCGGGTGACGCCGCGTCCATGGCAAAGGTGCCGACGTTTCGGTCGCCATTCTGCGACCTTCCTCATTACGCCCTGAGGAAGGTCGCAGAATGGCGACCGAAACGTCGGCACCTTCGCCATGGACGCGGCGTCACCCGGGCAGCCTAGTAACTACTGACTGCGGCCGCGGAAGCCTACGCTCTCAGTTTTGAGATGCTCTAATGACAACAATATTATACGCGCACGTTTTCTTGAGCCCCGGAATATCTACCCCCACTCCTTTGCCAACATTGTTTGAATAAGAATAAATGAGGAAACGAGTGCTGTAGACAAAATCTGATAATTGGAAATGTTTGCTTCCAAATAATGAAACAATTTTGCGCCAAAAATGAACTACACATATGATATATAGTTATTTTTGTCAAAATATACTAACTCCCCACTCCTCTTGCAGCTAGGGAAACGAGGGCTCAAAAAACGTGCGCAGATAATACATGACACTGCGATATAACGGGAGACATTTGAAGCTAGCGCTCCTAGTGGTCGGATCTGTCGTAACTATTCAATTTAGTTTAATTCAATGATTCCTTATTTCAGGAGGCGAGACTCAAGCCATTAGGTGTGCCCTTACGTGTGACCACGCAAATTTTGCCACGCCCTTTTTACCATTTAGCGGGGAAACAAGGTATTATTACTCAGGCGACGAAACAGGTGATTTGAATTTTGGTCAGATGCTTCATTTAGGATAATTTAGGCTTGATAATCTTTTACATGCAGTAATTCTACAACATGCGACAGACTGCTTTTACTCCCCCCCCCCTCGAAGGAAGGCATATGAAGAGTTTTACGCCCTTAAAAATCCACGGCTTCGGTCGGGTTTGTACCCGCAGACTTGGTTACAACAGACAGAAACACTAACCGTTATACGAAAGAAGCCATTAAACCACCGAAGTCAGTAACTATTGTTATATCAAGTACGAAGTATACAAGTTTGAAACGTTTTTTACTTTGGATTCAAGAGGAATTAAAATATTTTTTGTCTTTAAGTTTTTTATGGCTGGGTAGGTGTGAACTATTATTGCACACATGAAATTTATAAGAATGGTAATTTCAATTTCCTCGTGATGAAAAGTAAGTCACGAATACTATAAGTCCTTTCTGACTTCGCGTTGGCTTCGTGTTGGCGTTGACTTTTCTATGTAAATACTTATCATTTTCCACTTAAATGCAGATATTAAATTAATAATATAATGATTGTAATAATTATGTAAATAATAGGTTTATTGGAATCCAAAGATCTAAAATGGTTTTGCGTATGAATTAAAATTTGAATTTTTGATTCGTCGCCGGATTTACAGATCTCGTCTCTCGGTTCGCTAGTGACCAGTTGTCTCCCATTAATTCTATGAGAAAGGTTCAATGTGTCCTGTATTGTCTATAGAGTATTTGGCAAAGAAAAAGAACGTTCTGTGCGTACGGAGTGAGAGAGCAATCAGGAGCAAGTGACACATTTATAAAAGAATATAAATCCGTTATATGCAAATTCCTAATATATTTTGCTTGGGAATTAATATAGTTGTCTGTCCTTCTACATGCTCTAGGAATTATTAGTAAAATTACAAATAGATAAACACGGATATTATTTGTAGAGACAAATAATATGCACAGTAATTTTATCTCTGTAACAATTTATATGTATTTTATGCGATCTCCAAAAAGGTTTTTATTTTTGAACCCGGTACAACGTGAAAATAATCATTTCTTGTGTACCGTAATAACAAAGCAGAACACGAGAATATTTTTCGACGTCTATCGCCAACGAATTACACAGTTAATTAAGCACCTTCTTTAACACACTCAACATGCTACGGTTAGCACTGATCAAGAATTTGCGGTGGGCATTGGAAAGGACGCTGCATGTCAAAGCCACCCTGGCGTGGGAGGCATGCGAGACAGTTTGCGCGACGTGCGCGGCGCGTGCGCAGACGGCCTTTCTGGAGGTGGTGATCCCGCCCGACATCGTGTACGAGGAGACGTCGGGCGACATCATGGTGCCCGAGGGCGGCTCGGCCAAGCTGGTGTGCAAAGCGCGCGGCTACCCGCAGCCCAAGGTGGTGTGGAAGCGGGAGGACGGCGGCGAGATCATCATGCGCAGCGCGAGCGCGGGCAAGACGCGAGGTGAGCACGCAATCACCCTCACCGTCACCCCTCACCGTCACCCTCACCGTCATCCCTCACCATCACCCTCACCACCGCCCTCAGCATCATCCTCACCATCACACTCACCATCACACTCACCATCACACTCACCATCACACTCACCATCACACTCACCATCACCCTCGCCATCACCTTCACCATCACCCTTCACACCCCTTTGATTCGAGAATAAAAGTAGCAAATTTTCAGCGAATTTATTACGAATCAGCTTGCATTACCTTTCACATCCCTTTCGTAATTCTTTGCGAGGATAAAAAATTGCGAACTGTCAATGGTTTCATTACGACACACCATACATTGTGATCACCTTTCACATTCCTTTCGTAATTCTTTACGAGAATAAAAAATAGCGAACTGTCAATGTTTTCATTACGAAAGGGATGTGAATTACTTGCATTGTGATCATCTTTCACATCCCGTTGGTAATTCTTAAGGAGAATAAAAAATTACGTACTGTCAATGATTTCATTACGATGTATCTTGCATTGTGATCACCTTTCACGTCTCTTACGTAATTCATTACCAGGATAAAAAATAGCGAACTGTCAATGATTTCATTACGAATCATCTTGCTTTGTGATCACCTTTCACATCCCTTTCGTAATTATTTACGAGGATAAAACATAGCGAACTGTCAATGTTTTCATTGCGAATCATCTTGCATTATGATCACTTTTCACATCCCTTTCGTAATTATGAGGATAAAAATAGCGAACTGTCAATGATTTCATTACGAATTATCCAAAGTAATGAGCATACAATCACCCTTCTGATCACATTCCTCTTTACCTTTTTTCATAATGAGATGAAAGAATAAAAATAGCTAACCGTCAATGAATTCGTCATTATCAATTCCCTCGCGTGGTGATCATGTAATCACCCTCCCTATCACCTTACCTTACACCCTTTAGTAATATTACTGAGATGTGAAAATGGAAATAGTGAACTGTCATTGAGTTCGTCACTATCAAGTTATTATTAAGGTTAGATTCAGTTGGGCAGTAACTGGCAGCAATTAATTTCACCATCAGTTTCCTGACTTTATTTGGGAAATCTTCCACGGGGTATTTCGTTCATAAATTAACGAAACAAGCTTATTGAATACCCGATTCGATTGAATAATTGAAGTTCATTTGATGCCATCCTGTCAGACTGGAGACGGCGTCGGTAGCCGAATTGCTTAAGCACACTCCGTGAAGTCACAGAGGTTAATCAACTCGAGAAACGGCAGGTTCCTGGATGGGTGACCGCCTGGGAAAATAGAGGATCTAACGGCCCCTGGCCGAAGGGATAAAAGTTAAGAAGTGACTACGACTAACAATCATCTATGTCTGTCTACCTTAAGGATTGCTCCACGTCCAAAGCCAGTTCCAATAGTTAGAGAACGTTGTTACGAAAAACTTAACAGCACAAAAAAAAGAAGCTCGTTCGAAATTTTTCCAAACACATGGGATGAATTGCGACCCTGACTGCTACACTCTTATAGTAATCGGGCTAGTGAGTGTTTGAAACGGACTAGTGTGTTATTGAAATATACAGTCTGATGTATGTATAAAATATCCCGCTGTTAAGATCTGTGTTCGTCCGAAAGTGAGTTCGGCCAATCACGGAGCCACTCTGACAGTCGCGGGGGCGGGGCGTTTGCAGTGCAACAGGTGGAAGGCGAGATGCTGTCGCTGACCAAGGTGACGCGCTCCGAGATGGGCGCCTACCTGTGCATTGCGGCCAACGGCGTGCCGCCCTCCGTGTCAAAGCGCATGATGGTGCACGTCCATTGTAAGTACTTTTTCTTCTTGAATTATTTTGTTTTATCTTTGTAGACGTAACATCTTGGTCAGAAACTTTGGTTTACCAATGCCCCGTGGTATATAACCAACAGACAACTACATAGAGAACTAGACGTACAACCAATTACATTTCCTTACTCTCTTTCGAATTATTTTCTGACCTCCAAACTGCCCATTGCATCAGCCACATTAACCTCGGGAAAACCAGCGTTGCTCCTACAAGGATTAAATCCCGTTCAAAAAGATCTGTTCCATCCCCTGTAAGTTAGAGAAATTTTTGAATCGCTTCTCTGTAAATCTTATGTGCTTTCATGTTAGATTAAATTTTACAAAATTAACAAAAATCATCATAGAGATACCCAGTGTTGTCCTTGTTCAGAAGTAGGGGTATGGTAGTGCGCTAATTTACAATTACGTGTAACTTCGAGCCACTATTGATATTCATCTGTAAAGTGGTAATTCCACTGATCTGGTAAAATAAATTTTAAAAAAAGACACTTTGGTATATTGCAAACATATTTCTAACGATGCATCACAATGCTATTTCTCTCAATACTACTCCACAATACTATCTCTCTCAATGAACACATGACGTATCTTACAGCATGGTAGTGGAAGTCGTCAAACAAGGTTGTGTGTCAATCTTGCCAATATACTGTTCAATGTCATACCTATATTTTGTTTCAATTCTTAATACAATATTTTCCTTAGTAGTATTTTATTACAACTTACTTTATTGATAAGTTTTACTTGATAATATTAGAGTATTATTACTTCTTATTACACATTCTACCTCAACATTTTTTAAGTCGCATACGCTTAAATTATGTATATAACTATATTTTATGTCAATAATAAAATAATGTTTAACTAAAAACGTGAGCTTGCGACACCGGAATCAGATGCAGCCTTCTAGAGACACTTGCCAACATTTCGGTCGTGAATCTACGTCCCAGACCCTAATTGTTTTCGTCATAAGATACGAATTTAGAAGTAATTCGAATGTGAATATGTAATATTGCTTGGTATTGAATGTACTGCTGACTCTAGCTCTTGATAAATCTATTATTATTATTATTATTATTATTATTACTATTATTATTATATAATATTACAATTACAACCTTTTTAATCAGAATTATATATACCGGTTGTCTGATTTCACTTTATAAGAAACTTTTTCTAACGTACGAGTCTCCTGTTCTGCAATGCAAAGACGCAATTTATTAACCGACATATGAGGTATTATATTTAATTTGAAAATGAGACTTGTATTTTTTTAATGTGACGTTAACCTGTAACCTTATGATGTTCAGACTGCATAACATGGCTCGAAAGGCATTTACAAATTACTGTTTTGGCAAAACAAAACATAACATTGTCCAAACAATTGAGAACAATTTTAGTTCTTCCACTCGCAAGTGTATTTGATAACAACACAATTGAGATGTGACCTGAATCCTTGAATTTTGGAGAGAATTGGATACCATAATGCTGACCATAGAGTGATTTAAGAGGGTCAGCCAGTGTAAGCTAGAAGTGGGACAAGCTGCTACAAAAGAGAATTGATGTAAGAGTTCACAGCAGGTCGTTGCTCTTAGCCAGAGAGGGTTTTTTTCGGCACTCACAGTCCGCATTGTTGTCCAATTTGACTGCGGCGAGACCTGTTGCCGTAACAAGACGAATTGCCAGAACGAAAAGCGTGTCAACGGGAACTACGTACGTAAAGGTAACTGTACGCAATTTACTACACTGTTGGACTTCATTGAGGTTTCATCGTCATCAACGCAACATGGTTGGTAAATGCACAATACAATCTAGTCGCTGTCAGAGAAAAAAAGGAAGAAAAAAGGGCGATCAAGTAATCAGTGTCTTCGATCACTTTTATTTCAGTTCTTCTAAGCTAGAAAGTCGTTTTTCCCTTAAGCTCTATAGTCAGTTTTCTTCCTTTTGAGACATTGTCTCATTGAAGATATGTGGTTCAACACAGTCGACTGTACGCATTCTGCCTTACGCATTCTGCCTTAATTGTATCATTTTTCGCTTGTTAGGAATTTATAGTGCACCCATGTGGAATAAAATAAAAATGTCCAAATGATTAATTCCTCCTCCCCCATTTAGTACATGATAAATAAGAGTCAAATAGTTAATCTAATATTAAAGCATGTAAATTGTAAATAAACGCTAAGTCAAGACTACTCTAAATTAAGTTTTATCAACGGTACAGCGATGTAAAGCTCAAAAACGCAAAGACACCTAATAACAAAAATACTAATGTATTCAAACTTTTAAAAGGCCACTCGGCCGAACAAGAAGGAAATAAATGAAAAAAGGAATTTATTAATATGTTTTATGCTTAAAATTATGCGATGAAATAAACATAAAATAGCTTTTACCCAATTTGTGAGAATTCTAAAAATAACCATTTGGAACACGTTTACCAAATAAGCAAAATTCCTTCTTTTAATGCGCAACAGTTTCTCGGGAGGCGTTGATATGTGAAAAGCTTTCCACCATCAAGTTGGTAGAACACTCGTCGGGTCGCAGGGACTTCCCCTCTTCCTCCTCCCCTTTCCCGTCTTTAACAACTTGCCTGTTTTAATTACTTGTGTGGGAGAATAATATAAAATAACATTTTGTTTACAGAACTTTGAGAAATAAGCTGCTTAAAACTTTGTGCATCGTAAAGCCCTTCTCGAAAGCGTAACGTTCTCCCGAAGGGAAGCCGAAGGGAGCTCGCTCATCGCGCTCCGCTGCTCGCTTGTTTGCAGGGTGCATCATGCGTCGCAGTGCGAGGGTTAATGTGTGCTCAGGCGCCCGCCCGACAGGAATTTGTGTTTTTTTTATTGACTTTTTTTTGTTTTTTTGTCGTGCTTTGTTTAGGTTGTTTGCACATAAGTTGGTGAATTTGCGTTAGTGCAACAGGGTGTGCAAGGCGTTTAGGCAAATTGCGAAGCCAGTGAAATGCATAGCGTTTCTTTTCTTTGCGTTGTGCCGTATTGCGCTACCTCTGTGCACAGTTCGTGGATTGTGTGGGTTTATGCAAGCTCTGAGAGAGTTGTATTTGACCGAGTAGTTTATTCCTTTAAATTTATTTTTCTTTAAGCACTTCTTAAGTTTTCTAAAAAAAAGGTAAATTATTTGCAACGTACGTGTGAATAATTTGATAAACTATGTTCATTACTTAAATGAGCTGTATATTGAATTTTTTTCATTAATAAGAACACATATTGAGTAATTAAGAATTTTCTTCAAGCCTGGAAAATATAGTTTATGTGCAGTAAAAATATTTTATGCTACGTAAAAAACCTCAAATTTTTGCCTTTTTATCTTAAAAGACATTCACATAATTACATACTTTCATTTTATTTCAAATGATCAATTTAAATTACCATTTTACAAATTAGAATTTTTTAGTGCTTCAGGTTCGTATGATAAATATATAAAATTATATAATAATCATTAGGATTCACAAATGTATTTATGTGTGTATTTGGCATTTTAGGGCCGATTAATCTAATTTTTGCCAACTAGCGGTGTTCCCTGGTCTGGACGCCATTTTTATTTATTATCCACGCCCATGTGTAAGGAAGACATGTTGCGATCAATACATATTCACATCAACATACCTAGCTTACGTGGCCTGCCTGAGGTTATTCTTTTGTTTCACAGCTATAAAAACTGAGGTGAATTGTATTAGAAAGCTACAGCATCATTTTTGTCCTTGCCGGTAATCGAATACGTGACTGCCTCACAGAAAGTTATCACTTTGTCCACGACCCACCCGACGGGCTGGTACATTGACATAAATCAAAATATATAAATACAGAATAACACTAACTTTATATTTTGGTAAGAGCTTAGTATCACAAAGAAGATAAAATTATAATGTTATCTGAATTCTCATTAAATGCAATTTACTTATTTAAAATTTGTTATTCTGTCTTAACTTTTGCATATATCTGACCATAATATTTGCTTTCATTTCGAAAAATTGAAATTATTGTGATTATTGCGAATAACATGCAACAATAAAGTAACGAAATTTGAAAACAGAACGTACCTGAAAATGTTATTGTTACATGAGGATTATTAAATATTATCATGTCACTGAGTGGGAATTAATCTTTTATCACAAATTCCATGAGAGAAATTCAAAAAGTTAAAAGAAAATATAATATTAACATCGTATTAGCCGAGTAAACGCACACAAAGTTCATTTTTTACCCGTACGCAAAACCCAACCACGCAGGGATTTTGACTTTGAGAGTGAAATCGCTTACTCTGTCAATTGCTCACAATCGCCCGGTAATCCACTGCACCGATAGCACTTGGCTTCGCAAGCTTAGTTACTCCGCTGACCGCCAGGCGCGCGCGCTTCGCATGGGCCCTCGTTCACAAAGCCTTGGGGCGGCCGCGACGAGATCCCGCTCCACCGCCCGCGTCTCTCCCGACACCCCCTCCCATCCCACCCCCACCCCACGCCCCTCCCCGCCCTCCACCCGCCCTCCCGCGACCGACGACTGCCGGCCCGCTCACATAGTGGGCGCGGCCGCGCCTTCTCGGCTGAACGCGAGGAATTTTCAATAAAACTATGGCGGAGAGGCCGCTGCCAAGGCGCCGCCGACGTCGCGCGGGGGCGTTGGAGGGGGCGGGGCGGAGCGACAGGGATTCACTTTGACCCGCGGCGGCCCTCTCACTTGCCCTCCGTCGCTCGGGTGGCCGGGGGCGGGCCGGCCGGCAGCCGACCCGCGCCGCCCCGCCCCGCGCCGCGGCCGCCCCGCGCCGCCCCGCCTGCAGGTCGCTTTGTAATAATAGCTCGGCCTGCGTACAAAGGCCCCATCCGCGTGCGTCACCGCCGCCCGAGTTTTGTCCTTGCGGCTCGCGAGGTCAAACTTTCTGCGACGGCCGCCCCAGCAGGCGGTGGGGGCGGCGGCCGGTGGCAACGAGTGGGGCGCGACGACGGTGGCGGTGGCCGGGCGCGCGCGATGGCGGTGTTGAGGGATGCCGGGGTAGGGAGAGGGGGAGATGGGTGATGTTGGAGGCAAGGAAGGGAGAGGGCGGTTGGCGGGTGCCGGCGGTGGTGGTGGCGGTGGAGGCGGTGGCAATGGTTGCAAAGAGTGGGTCACGGTGGCTCGGTGGTGGCTCGGCCGGTGATGCAAAAACCGCTGAATGCACGGACGCCGCGGAATGGTAAGAGTGTGAGGTTGAGGTGCGTGGAAGTTTGGGGAAGGGGAGAGGGCTGAGACTATGTGCGTGGATGTTTGGCCTATCATGGAGCCGGTCGGATGGGTTGTGCGGTACGTAGCGCTAAATAGTGAGCGTGAGCGTGGCGTATCGTACAGGTAGTCGCGGTGGGCGGTACGGGATTTGGAAAACTGGTGGGTGGTGGTGTTGGCCGGGCGTTAGAGCCGAGCACTGAAGTTAGGTAGGTGTTATGGGAGGCGAGGTAAGGGAGTCGGGGGCTGGCAGGGGTGGCTGGTGGCGGTGGATAGGCGGTGGCGGTATGTGGGTGGATCGGTGGCTGCGGGAGTGCTATGGGATTAAGGATTAGTAGGAGGAGGTGCGGTGGTAGTGGTGGAGAAGCTGCGTGTGGAGAGAGTTAGTAGACACGCGTGTGAGAGCGGGTAAGCGGTTGTCACTGGAATTGGTTGGGCAATAGTAGATTTGTGAGAGCGATCCCGGAAGTATGAGAACAGAGGTGGAAGCTATTTCTCGGTTATTGATCGATTGTGATATTCGGCGTACTAAGTGGCTGAGGGTCATTAGTCCGTAAGTGTATATGCCATGTTTTATCGCGCAGATGGTGGTGGATTCTCCCGTTACTATGTTGAGATCAGCTCTAACTGACACATCGGTCTACGGGTTTCCCCAACCAGGTA